GCCTTGCCTTTGAACCAATAGACAAAGCGTTAGTAAGGTTGCAGAGCTCGCCGTTCATTCCGGCAATAGAGAACGCACCATTACCCTCAGGCTTCCACCAACCCAAATTCACTACTTATGAGAGGAAGTCAGACCCCTACATGCACTTTCGCCACTTTCACCACGTTATGGCCGTGTATCGATGAAACGAGGCTCTGATGTGTATCCAGTTTCCTTCTAATCTCAGCGACATGGGTTTAACATGGTTTGAAAGGTTGCCAAAATGTAGCATAGCTTCATGGGCACAACTAGCGGAGGCATTTGTGACCAGATTCAGAACAAACACCAAGATGCCAGTGGAGATTGACCAGCTTCTCTCCATAGACATGGGCAAGAAGGAAACATTAAGGTCCTATAATAACCAGTATTGGGAAACTTTTAATTAGATTGGAGATTTCTCCACAAACCTAGTTATCGCACAATACAAACGAGGTTTGCCAGCTAACAATAACTTAAGGGATTCAATGACAATGACGCCGCCTCTTACTATGGAAGCCCTGATGAAGAGAGTGCACTAACACATCTTGATCGAGGAAGATAGGATGCGTATTAAGACAGAGTCCGATACAAACAGCAATGTCAGACAAAACACCCTTGGCAAAAGTTAACACGGTCGACAAGAAGGACCAACCACGCAAAAATCTTTGCCCAACTGGGGGCAAAATGGGTTGGCAGGTTTAACCAGCAAAACTTTCTAGATTCCTTGCACAACTGGGGGGCAAAGGCGTTGGCAGGTTTGACTAACAAAATTTGTTAAATTCCTTGCACAACTGGGGGGTAAAGGCGGTTGACAGGTTTGACCAACAAAATTTTTTAGACTCCTTGCACAACTGGGGGGCAAAGGCGGTTGGCAGGTTTGACCAACAAAACTTTTTTGAACTCTTTGACCGGGATGACAGTTACCTCGGCCAAAGCAAGTTGACAGGTTTGACCAATAAAATTTTTGCAATCTTTGGCCGAGATAACAGTTACCTCGGTCAAAGCGGGTTGGAAGGTTTGACCAACAAGTTTTTTGGATTCTTCAGCCAAGATGTATATCTCGGCCAAAAAAGGTCGACAGGATCAAGTAAGGCCAAGCTAATTAGTTTGGCTAGACATGCAGTGGGAATGACGCAAAACATTGAAAAAGAAACGCAGTAACCCCGCCAAGAGATCAAAAAAATTCATTAATTGGAAGATGATTACAAAATGTGGGATATATAGCCCGGTTACACAGAAAGAACAACTCGCTGTACGATTGCAAACTCGAAGGGTGTATACGTTGAAGGCAAAAAGGCGAGATTATTCAAATTTTTGGCATGACGGCTGTAATAGGAGAACGGGGCTAATGAGGGCACACCACATGCTAGATTAGTGGAAAGACATTCTGAGCAACTGACAAGACTTATTAAAATCGAACAAGTTTTCTAGCTCGGCAGAGTCAGGGGTTCTTAACTCAACTAGAGGAAAATAATCTCAATCATGCTATGCAGATGGAATTAAGGGGCAATTGAGAGGGTAATTTATGCATAAATTGGGCCGAGCTAAGTAAGTCCGTTAGAATGGACCGAGATAGATATAGTCTTGGGCCGAGCCACGAACCGAGATAATCCTTGGTCCTTGGTCGCATTGGTTCGGTCAAATATGGGCTATCAGTGGCCTGGTCTAGCGGTCGTAGACTGAGGTATCTGTGGGAATCGGACTGAGCTAAAAAATAGCTCGGCAAGAGGTCATTCCAAAGACTAGGTTGACTAAATTGACTTAATTAGAACCGAGTTGTGTAAGCGCAGTTATGTCTTGTTTTAGCCAGAGTAAAAGTTGCAACTATCTCACTTAAACAAACAGTGAGTAAGGAGTTATCAGAATATGCATTATCCTTGGGAATGTAATTCCTAGGCGGACTCTACTAAGGAGAGTAGAGTCCTACTAGGATTGTGCAAATCATCTCACTTGGTTGGAAGTGAGTAGGGTGTGTGATTCCTAGGAGGACTCTTATAAGGAGAATTGGAATCCTACTAGGAATGGGCCGGACAGAATCTATAAAAGCTCATAGCAGGACCTATGTACAGGTATCACAATTCTTACTCTAAAATGCACAGAGCTTATTGTCTATTGTCTAGTTGTTGATTTAAGCATCAGAGGGGTTTCTAGCACACACTCGCCGGTTAGCTCACATTTGTGTTTTTAGGTGGCAAAGCAACGTTGTTTTGAGGAGTGCAAACTTGATCAACAGGATTATACGAAAAGATTATTTCGCGCTCGTACAATAATGTCACAGGGAGAGAAAACTTATGATGTTATGTATTATAGTATTATTTTCAAACTAATCTGATGTTATCTTAGTCTTATATCATGTCTCTAATTAAAGTTTATTTATTACACATGTGCTAACCTATGTATTTAGAAATGAATTCAGGGAGTATGACTTGAGGGGGAGTTTTTCTTAATTCCAAATCAAATCAAAACATCATTGTATGCCATCATCAAAAAGGGAGAGATTGTTAAACTTATTTATTTTAATGATTTATTTAATTATGTTTTAATTTATTTGAAAGAGAAAAATATAATCCAAAATTTATTTTGATAATTTCTTTAATTATATTTTAATCAAAATTTATTTTGATGATTTATTTGAAAGAGAAAATTAGAATAAAAATTTATTTCGTCTCATTATTTCTCACCTAAACCTTTATCCTAAATGTTATTAGAATGTATTTAATTTTTGATTAAATCAGGAGTTCAAACAGCCCAAAACAAAAGTTCAAACAGCCCAGTACAACATTAGGCTAAAAGGTTCAAAAGGTTTAAATGAAAGATATTCAAATTAGTAATGATGGAAGTACAACGGTTATAAACGGCTATAAATTCAAATGACTACAACAGCTATAAACGGTTATAAATTCAAATGAATACAACGGCTATAAACGGTTATAATTTTCGTTATATATACCAAAGCCTCTAATGGAAACAAGTTACAAAAAACTTGAAAATGTTCTTTGATCTATAATCACTCACATCTATTCTCAAAAATTATACACTGAGCCCTATAGCATTAAGCTCATCTTTCCCATATGAGATTTACAGAAAAATCAAAACTTCATTTTATATATCTATCTTTGAGAGATATTTATTGTAAGCTTTCTTTGAAAGCAAAAATACCATTTCATCTTGTAAAAGTGTTACAAACACTGTGTTCTTGAAATCTTGAGAGTGATTGTGAATTACCTAAGATTTGTAAGGGTTTGGGCTTGTGAAGTCTGTGTAAAATCCGTAGAGGATTGTTCCATTTGTAAAGAGGTTGCTAGCATCCCTGTGAAGCTAGAAGATAGTGAAAAATCTCAAGTGAAGCTTGAGAAGTAGATGTAGGCTTGGTTAAAGCCGAACCACTATAAATCTGTTTGTCTCCTCTTCCCTAATCTCTTTACTTTCCTACTACTGCTATAGCTATCTAATATTCATGTATTAATCATTTGATTTACCCTGTATGTTAGTTATGCTTCATTGTTATTTTGCTTGATCATTTACTGTTAAGTTCATCATTGTGCTTGTTAATAATTTGTTGTACTAGTAGTTAATTTTATTGGGGTATTATTAATTTTAATTTGTAGAAACCTAATTCACCCCCCTTCTTAGGTTATTTTTTGGGCAACAGATGCGATTTAGGATAACCCTCCATCACCTTCTTCAATCTTCACCTACACCTATTCATATTCATTTCGCTTCCAATATATGACCATAAGCCAAATATCAAACCAACCCCTTTGGATCCATTTGGTTAGCTCATGGGTAGCAGCCAACCCCCTGCCACAACAAAAACAAAATTTAGATTAAAACTAAATAAACTATAAGACTAAATTGATATAATAAAATTTATTTTTGCCCTGACCAATCATTTTCAAAATTTGGTAATGATAAAACCAAAAATAGTATAAATTTTGCCCTCAAACTCCCAGCTTTGCACCAATATAAATATATTGATGTGCAATGCATGTGCTTACACTACTACACATAGTCGAAAGACGCTTTATGGGTAAAGAAACTTCTTTTAGCTATCAAAACAAATATTCAGAAAATGTATTAGTATATTGACAAAATACTTTCACATATACACATGACAAAGTTATAAATTTACACTTGAAAACGAAGTGCATAATTCTATACACTTGAAAATGACAAATGAAGATAAGTTTCTTCATCAGTAGAAGGACAAAAATAACTGTAAAACTAATGATGCCTAAGCTCTTCTAGCGTATAACTCGTGCCTGAAGGCAATCCCAACAAAAAAAAAAAAACTGATAACACTGATTATTGGGATTTCTCAAGCGGTAGCACTTGTCAACCTTTACTAGGTTTAACAGAATTACCAAATTCAATAGAGTACTCACCAATTTTGCTAACTGTCGTAATTGATAAATAGCTCACAACCTAGTAATGACATCAACTTCATCACTACAACCAACGTTGCTCATTTTCATCAGACCCAAATTAGCATGACCGATCAAAAACTTATCATAAAGTAGAAGCAAGTTGTAGAGGCGCACACTACAACCTAATTTTCAATCGGAGGAGTACAAAAAATATGTAACAGAACATTCTTAGCTATCCCAACCATCCTTTTCTTTAAGGATGGAATTTTTATAAACATACCCCATTGCTAAAAATAGATTATAAAAAATGAAATTCAAATTTGGGAAGGGAATAGCTCCAATGACCTTTTCCCACACTCACAACATTCTCATTAAAATTCCATATACAATGGAAAACCAATCTGCTAACCAAAACATTTATGGAGCAACAGGTTCAATTGTAGAAAACAAAATTAAGATCAAATTAAAATGGTCAAAGTCATCCACAACATGTTCTTTCACCATCCTATTACGAAAATGAGTCAAAGTCCTGGCATCATTTGCCATAAATATTTTAAAGCCAAACTGCATCTCAAGAAAGTATTATTTGATATAAAATAGAGAGAGTTACCATACCAAATTCAAAGCACAAAAACTCTGAAGGCAGTCAAGATTATGCTTCCACTTGGTAACTACAGTGAAGGAAATAAAGAAGAGACTCTATTTTAGGTATTTTATCAAACATTCTACAGGCAAAATTATAGAATATGCTATATAATCACAACACACAAAAACATAAGAGTTTGACTATAACCTATAATCAAATCAAAAGTAGTATGCGAAGGGAAAATTTTGAGAAAATGAATAAGCATAAAGTTTTACCTAGGTTTAAGTCTCATCCACCTGTAAATTAGAGGGAAAGCTTTTTATTAAGAGGAAATTAGATATAATAAATAAATAAAAGCCTCAACCTATAAGAAAGGTGTAGTAGAAAGCAAAAAAGAAACTATATTACATGGTACTCCTAGAGTATCTAATAATTTTCTATTTAGAAATGAAATAACCAAGTGTACCTTTCTATAGTTCCTACAATTACTAACCTTCCTCCCTAAAGACTTGTGGCATCATTAATATAAACAAATTAAATTGATCAACTCCAAGTTCCTGATTTCAATTAAAAAAGAAGTGATGTTGTGTTGGGTACAAGGGTATACATGGAGCCATGTGAAACAGAGGTAAATATAGAATGGCATTAAATAAAATAAAAGGACAGAGTTTCAATTCTAATTGCAATGAAAAGAAGGGATAAAGAAGTGGGGTTGGAAACAATTAGGGAGGGTTGTTGTTTTCTATATCAAATCAATGATTGTTACATTACAGCTTTTGAAAGTTGGAGTAGTCATTTTGTTTTCTTTGGTGCTGAAGCTGAAATAGACAAAATTCAAATAGTAGATATCAGTAGAAGAAGTTTCGAAGGACCTTGTTTAAAGCCAAGAACAAAGTCAATAAATTCAAGCTCTTTACAAAATTTACACTTAAAAATTTTAAGTGCAAAATTTACAAAATAAAATTTTACACTTACAAATTTTAAAAATAATTTTTACAAATTTAAAATAAAACTTTAAAATTTAAATTTACATAAAATTTTATTATAATTTTATCAAAAATAATACATTTTACTAAAACAATCAAAATTTTCAAATTATTTTTGAATACACTCATGTTTCCAAATTATTTTTGAAAACACTCTCTCACAAGTTAATGGAGGATTTTTTTTTAATTTTTTTAAGATTGAGTTATTGGAGGATAATATTGAACTTTTTGTCCACTTCTATGTAACATGTTTGACCTCCTTTCCACGGAGTTTTGTACCAATTCCTCTTTTTAATGATAATGCTATTGCAATTATAATATTTTTTACAAATAAAATTATATTAAATGATGTGGTAAATTGAGATTCCTTTTTTTTCAAATATAAAATTCATTACTTAATCTCATAAAATTCATACTGATGATAATGGACTATCAATAAATTGAAGAAAAAAATTGCAGGAAGAGCAATTTTGCATTTTCACTGCTTTCTGTATGAATTCTTCAAACACCAAAGTCACTGGATGATAACTGTCTTTCTGTTCTTTTCTTTTTTTAAATTTTCCATAATTTATTCTTCAAACAAAATATTTTTTACAATTACTGTCATCACATCCTAAAGGTTCCTCACAAACTATAAGAATTTACATGAATACATAACAAAAAATAATAAGTTGAAGTTAGTCTTACACAACTTCAACAGAGGCAACTGATCTCATAGAAAATGATCTATTGGCACCCTCTTTTCTATGGAATAAATGATTAAGGCCTTCACAATCTACCTAAATCTCCTCCTGTAAGTTGGAAACTTTGATACACTTCGAATCATTCCCATCATCCTGACCCAAAAGACTATATATTAGTAGTGTTTATAGAAAATTTAGCTTTTACAATGTAATAAAAAAGAAAGCAACAAAAAAGCATATCTGGGAGTATCATATTGTCTATGACATGAACCCAACTTCTCAGAAGGAAAATCAATCACACTCAATTGAATACGACTCCAACGTCAATTCCCCTTATCCATGGCTTTAATTTGGCTTTTCCTATTGTCCCTAACACCCATGTTAACCCCTACCCAATTCTCAATTCATGGACCTTTCAAAGAGTAAAATTCTTGAAATTTAGAGTTGCTAAATTTCTCAAAATTTGAGTGGGGTGACAGACCCCATTGGTCTATGCTTAGGCTCATGTCCTATAGCTTTCAAAGAGCTGTGGGCTAATGTCCAAACATCAAATGCCAGCAAATGTGGTCACTACCAATTTCTGGTTGATTTTCAAAATCATAGAAAACCATGTTTTTGAAAATCAACACTCATTAAACCTATTTCATAAATCAAAATCATGTCAAAAATCAAAACTCATTTCAGATCCAAAACTGAAAGCTACATAAGAAAAATAAAAAAACAAACATAACACCACAAAAACAAAAAACGAAAAAACAACAAAACAACAAAAACAAACACAAACCCAACACAAACATATCAATTTTAATATTTAGAACAAACAAATTCAAATTCAAACTCAAATCTTAGAAACACAAACCCAAATTGATGTATATAGTGTCTTTGTATGCCTTGCTTCAACTTTTTCTGGGTTTAGTGTGATTCCATTTAATACATGGATTAAGATGGATTAAGATTTAGAAAACACAAACCCAAACACTCTTGACGGTGGACGGAGGCGCCGTGGTGGGTTAAGAGAAGATCCAAGAGGGAGAAGAGATGAAGAGTTGATGTCGGTGGAGATCGGAGGCGACATAGCGGTAAAAGCGGCGCGGCTGTGGAGAGTTGCTGTCAGTGGTAGAGATGTTGCCGAGGGAGAGAAAGATCTCTGAGAAGTTTGAAGAGACAGAGAGAGAGAGAGAGAGAGGAAAAATGGTGCAAATTTGAAAAGGAATGTTTGCAAGCCTCAGAGTCTTGGATGCAAAGTTTTAGGGTTAAGTGAACGAGAAGTTAAAGTAGAGTGGGAGAGAAAGTCTCATCTCTACCATCCATCTTTAGGCAGAATGTATTCCAACCATTGAAATGTCCCAATAGAACAATTGTCTCTAACATATTTTCAAAAACCTTTGTGCCTTATTATATAGATATAAATAATATATTTTATTTAAATAATATAAAAATATTTTTTACTTAAATATTTTTATTTAAATAATATTAAAAAAATTATCGAGCCAAGCTCGAGTTTCATTAATGTTAACGAGCCGAGCTGAGCCGAGTCGAACCGAGCTCGAGCCAAGTTTCTTAACGAGCTGAGCTCGAGTTCAATAAACGAGCTCGATAAGTAAACGAGCCAAGCTCGAGCTCAGCAAAGCTCAAGTTGGCTCGATTCGTTTGTAGGGTTTTATTTTACATATATATATTTAATGGCCCCCATAAATCAGCATTTCTTTTTGACAGATGGAGTAGTTTTTTTGGGAAAAACCCAAAATCCAAGGTCCTGTTTTGTAATATTTACAATTGGTTAATATTAGTTTGTAAAAAAAATTAAATATTATTCATCCAAAAAAAACATTAAATATATTTATATTTATTTATTTTATTAAAAAAATTTGTTTATTATACATGTTATAAAATTTTATTTTAAATATAATTAAATGAATTGTTTATAAGAAGTAAGGAAAAAAAATTGAGAGTTCTAAATATAGAGCTCTAGAAGAGCTTTAATGAGTTGGGTAGGGCTGAGCAAGGAATCCGTGAAATCCGTAATCCGATCCAATTCAGTCCAATCTGATAAGTTTGGATTGGTTTTTTGAATCCGCGGTTCGATTCCGGATTGAAGAATTAAAAATTCGTAGTCCACAGATTGGTTCCGGATTGAACCCCACGGTTCCGGATTGGAAGCGATCCGAACCGTATATAAATAGTCTATATTTTTATTATACATCCTCCCCCATAGTATCTTCTCTTATTCTATATGAAATCTAAACTCAAACCTAGAACCGTGTAATATCTTCTTTTATTACTTTTATTTGTTAGTTTTTCATTTTAATTTGTAATGATCTAAATACTTATAGTGAAACCAATTTTCTTATGGTTGTTTAAATTCCAGAACAGTATGTCGCTATTATAGAAAAACATGTTGCTATTGTGGAACTAATATAGCGCTATGTTTATATTTTTATGAAATTAAAATGTTATATATATATATATATTTGTTATTTAATTATGTGAATCCGTGGTCCTAAACCGATCTAATCCGTATTTAAATGGATTGGTTCCATGATTTAAACGGATTGAATTGGTTCTAATTTTTCAGAAACCATAAATAGCGGATTAGTCCTGATTTTACCTCAATCCGGACCATGCTCACCCCTAGAGTTGGGCCTCGCTCATGATGTGATGTTTGTGTCTTTGTTTCTTTTTTTTTTTTCTTTTTTTTTACTTTATCACATAATTAAAGCTCTCTATGATAATTGAAAATAGTAGGTGACAATCGTGTCGTCGGAGGTAGTGAATAGGTCAATCAATCATGATACATCCCTCTAAAAAAGAAAAAAAAAAAAAAAAAAAAAAACAAAAAAAAAAAAAAAAAAAAAAAAAAAAAAAGACAAACACAACCATCACATCATGAGAAAACCAACACATTAGAGCTTTCCTAAAATTTCATATTTAGAGCTCCCAAATATTTTTGATTGGTCAATAGCTACCATGACTGATGGAGTGATAAACAAAGGATGATGGTGGAAATAGGTCAGACAAAGATGTTTAAAAAAAAAATGGTTATAAAAATGCAGTAAAATTTGCAAATTGTTTATATATTTTTTTAACAAAAATATACATCAAGAGAATTTTTGTTTAGAATTTTCAAAAAAATTATAAATATAAATAAAAATGTTACCAAACAAATCTTAAGTATTTTTATCTTATTCAATTGATTGAATTAGTGAAAATGAGAAAAATATAAACTATTCTTGAAATTTAGTTTCTTAAACTTTTTAAAAATGATAGATTTTGAAATAAATCTACATAATGCTATTTTTATTTTTTTTATTTAAAAAATATATATAAATTAATTTGACAAAAATAAACACTAATGAGATATTTTTAAATTTTTAAAAATTATGTTCATTCTCAAAAAATGTAAAATCATATAAAAATAATAAACTTTTTATAATATTTTTTATGTTAAAAAAAAAAAACAAACAAACAAAACAAAACAAAACAAATTCAAACCAAACTAATGGATCTGCATTAAAGAGCAAAGAGCATGGCTTTGCCCCGTTTGGTGTAACTGTTAAAACATATTATAAATTATAACTTAACAGATTATAGATTATGACTTTAATCAGAAACTGTTAATCTGTTTGGTGTAACTGTTAGATTATAAATTTAAGTTTAGTGTTTGTTAAAAAAGCTGTGAAGTAACTTTTTCAGTTAATTTTTATTTTCTGTTATCCACTACTTATCAACATTTCTCATAAAAAATAATAAATAATATTCTATAGTCCATTTGGGTCTTTTTCTATTTTTTAAAAAATAAAAAATCTAAGAGTATAATTGTAAATTAACATGTCCACAGTCAAAGCTGATAATCAGAAGCAAGAGGTGAGCAACTCCTCAGAATCAATTTTCTTGACTTAAAAGAAATTGTTAGAATCAGAAGCTGTTTGAAATAAATTTAACCAAACAGTCTAAAATAACTTTTCAAAAGCCAAAAGTTATAAATTGGCTAAGAAAAACCCAAACAACACGCTCTTTGCCATGAAATGCTTAGTAACCCCGGAGAAGATCATTGGAAGCCGATCATTCGGGTTCTTAGATATCTAAGATTCACCCGTGATCATGATTTGAACTTTACTCGATATCCAGCAGTACTTGAAGGTTACTGTGATGCAAATTGGATATCGGATACTAAAGATTCAAAATCCACTAATGGATATGCCTTTACTCTAGGAAGTGCTGCTGTTTCTTGGAAATCCACGAAACAAACATGCATCGCACGATCCACAATGGAATTAGAGTTCATTGCTTTAGACAAAGCAGGAGAAGAAGCAGAATGGCTTTGTCACTTCTTAGAAGACATTCTAATGTGGCCAAAACCTATGCCAGCTATTTGCATTCATTGTGATAGTCAATCTGCAATAGGCAGAGCACAGAATCATATGTATAACGGTAAGTCACGACATATTCGCCGTTGACATAATGCCGTAAGGCAATTATTGTCAAATGGAATAATCTCAATAGATTATATGAAATCTAAAGAGAATATTGCGAATCACGCCGTGCTCAATTTCCAGAACTGGTGTAGAAACTTCTGGCGACGGATGTATTTCCATTGGCCTCTATGGAGGTCCATCGGCCACAATTTGACCTCAGGAGCTATATGTCGGCCAAAAGTGAACCTTATCGGCCACAAATGGTGGCCAGTCGGTGTTTTGTGCACCCTGTATCGCACTATTTTGTGCACTTTGTATCACACTGTTTTGTGCACCTTGTATACGGTGACATTGATGATATTTTTTGTGCAGTTTTCAATTGTTGAATAGTAAATTGTTTTATGTTTTGAATTGTTGATACTTTCAATTGATGATACTTTCGAGGTTCCTCGAAAGTATCGTTGTTGTGCAGGTTTTTCTTCCTGTGAGATGTGATTACATAAAATAATGTAAGAAATAAAGTATAATTTTATAAATAGAATCACCATAGAATTTAAACTACAAATTCATAATATAAAATAATACATAATTGGTATTTAGTATAAAATAATGCACAAGAAAACAAGAATATGAAAGGGAAAAAAAAAAGCAATTTAACATTAAAAAAAATCCTAATACATTTTAAAGAATTAAGAAGAAAAACATGAAATCCAAAATTTAGTATTGAGTTTGTAAATTATCTCAGTTTACGATGAAAAATATATGAAAAATAAATATTTGTCAACAGAAGGTCCTGAATCATCCTTCTGTTGCTTGCTTTCTAAGCCATTGTGGCTGAAACTCTACCATGGAAGGCCTAAGCAATGGAATCCCTTTCCTATGCTAGCCATACTTTGCTGACCAATTTCTTAACCAGAGTTACATTTGTGATGTTTGGAATGTTGGATTGGGGTTTAACTGCGATGAAAGTGGTATCATCAAACAAGGAGAAATTAAAGATAACGTGGAGCAACTGCCCAATGACAAGACAATCAAAGCAAGGGCTTTGGATCTAAAGGAAGTGGCTGCAAAAAGTGTTAAAGAAGGTGGCTGATCTCACAATAACTTCAACAATTTTATTGAATGGTTGAAGACGTAGACAAGTTGTTTAGGCTGCAAACAAGCATGGTTTTATAATTTATTTCTGGGCTTTTTCCTTTTTGTGTTATCATATAAAAGAGTCAAGTAAAAGATAAAGAAAGTAAATGCAAAGAGAGAACTACGAAATGTCTTGTGTCACTAGTACTAAAGCAAATAATAGGTTTTGGTGTTGTCACTATACATTAGACAACATAATTAATGCAAAAGAGAACTATGAGAATGCCATGTCTGTTACTAGTACTACAGCAAAAACCTTCTTTTTTAAAAAATATATAAAAAAATGGCAACCTCACAGCGACATATTAAACCATTTATCTTGAAAAATAATCAAAACAAAATTAAAACAAACTTTATAGAAAATGAGATAATCAGCATAGATATTAGCAGCCATTGTAGCAAATAAGGAACTCACAATTATGCAGTATTTAGGATCACCTTACACAACCAGGTCAACAAGCCTCATAGGATATGGACTCATTATCTAAGTCAACTTGTTTCCCATCAGATACTACATAATACAGTCTTCATCTCTTGGAGAAAGCTACATAATACATTAAACTGAAGCAATGATTATCACCAAGTACAGCAGTAGACAAGGTAATAAACCAAACAACAGCTGTAGAGCAGCTCAAAGTACAAAAGTAAAACTAGGCAAGAAAAAAAAAATACAAAGAGGAAGAGCAGGTTCCCAACTTGGACCCACATATAAATATTAAAGCATATAAAAAAATTACAAAGAAGAAGAGTTGGTTCTGAGCTCAGTGAAGAATGGCTTGGGATAGGAAGCTAAATGTTTGCCATTATTGCTACTTGAGAATACTACATATGGCAAATACTTTTTAAACTCAATT